TTAGCTCTCTAGACAGCTCACCTGAGGCTTGATAAAGAGAAGCCTTACTAGCTTAATTACTCAATCCATCACTAAGAAGTTAATCTGGTTTATAAACCCCTCTTCTTTCATGGCATCAGAAGACAGAAGTTTTGTTGTTGGGTAGTTGCAGGAGCAGACTCAATACCCTGCCACCAAGGCTGGCCTGGAAAACAAGCTGCAAGTGTCCAGAGTGATGCTGTATGGATGACTGGGGGCGGGGGGAGAGATTCTGAGTCAACAGCCAAGAATCCCATCCTGGAGTCCTAACTCTGTCATACATTTTCTATGTAACTTTGAGCATGCCACTTAGCTTGATTCAGATTCAGTGTCTCATCTATAAATGAAGGGGAATGAGACAGGATAAATGGACAGAGTATTTCCTTCCCTAAAACTGCTGGTTTCTATGACCACAGGGCCTGAATATGTCCCTGTTAGATACCAGTGATGCATTATACCAATAGATTATTCATGGTATTCATACTTCATACCAAGAATGAGATGTTCATTACTCTAACTTTCTTGACATTCATTAAGTACAAGAAAATTGTTTGAGAAGATGTCAAGAAAAAAAAGAAATCTAAGGCTGAAGACAAAATATTTAAGTGTCATAATTTTTTTTCAAAGATTAATACTCATTATTGTCCATATCTAGTTGTCCTGGCTTATTGCCAACAAAATTTCCCTTGGCCACATGGGGCCTGAGATGCTGTAAACTTTCAGAAGGACAGAAATAAATAAAAAATAAATAAGAGTATTTTTCCTAACAAACAGGAGAATCAAATTAAGCGGGCACATATGAACTATCTAGTTTCCCAATTACTGACAAATAATGTTAACCTTGGACTGCCCTCCTTGCCATCCAAGTACTGTATTATTTGGCCTCTGTATTAATTTTCTATTTGTTGATATAACAAACTACCACAAACACAGTGGCTTAAAACAATACAATTTTTTTCTCTGACAGTTCTGTAGGTCAGAAGCCCAACACCAGCTCACTATGACCTGGAGACTCTAAGGCAGAATCTGTTTTCCTTGTTTCATCCAGCTTCTAGAGGCGACCCATATTCCTTGGCTCATGGATGCCTTCCTCCATCTTCACAGTCAGCAGCATACCATCTCTCTGATGAGAGATGGTTTCAGGATGAAACTGTTCCACATCAGATCATCAGGCATTAGATTTTCATAAGGAGCATGCAACCTGGATCCCCAGCATGTGCTCTTCACAGTAGGGTTCATGCTCCTGTGAGAATCCAGTGCCATGCTGATCTGACAGGAGGCAGGGCTCAGGCAGTCATGTTTGTCGGCTGCTGACTTTGCATGGCGTGGCCAGGTTTCCAACAGGTTATGGACAGGTACCAGTCCTTGGCCTAGGGGTTGGGGATTTTTGAGAACCATGTTTCTATCAGTTGTTATGGCCCATTATCTGCTCACTTGCTCTCTCCATTTGCATGGATAATTGACATTTGACATTTGGGAAGATTTTCTTTAGTTTCTTTTCTGGATAAATATATCATTTTGGTATATTTTGTGACACTTAGAATATAAGAATGTCATCCAAGCCAATAAGCCATGCTGGAGTACATAAAACCACACCCAACCCTTACCCACCAAGCAGCTTTCTGGCTCCTGGATCTCAACAGCCTCTGGGTTCAATCAACTCAGGAAACCAAGCCCAGGGTGCTCAGGATGCTCAGCCCCACTCTATCAGATTTCCAGAAACCTTTGCTGGCAGTCAACCGGGTCAAGGAAATTCACAAATGATAAATCCAAGTCTGGGAATGGCAGTAATAAACTTCAAAGAAGAAGCAAAGGCACTAGGGGTAAGTCTCTTTACTACCAGAATTTTAATTTCACATTTGCAAGCTCTTCTTATAAGTTATAGGAGAAAATATATTATCCAATTGTTAAACAGTTTTGAATGTTATTCTAAAACTATCTCTTTTGGATAGAAATATTTAGTCTGCCTATAGACTTTCCCTTGAGTTCATTTTATTTCAGATCAAGCACAAATCTAACAGGAGACAGAGGAGCCTCCTAGCTGGAGGATTTAGTAATATTGACATGATAGAAACACCACTGCATCTAGCTTGATTTCATTTCTTCAAAGGACTTTTTGGACAATCTCAATCCCATCTCTAGATTTGTTACAAGCCTGTTATTTGCCTGAAGGTGAATTTACATAAAAATGAACACTGATGGCTGCCCCTAAAAAAGGAAACTGCAAATGGGCAGTCTGGGAAAGGCTGAGTGTGAAAGAACTGGAAGATGTTCCACCTGCTGTGCCTTTCTCAACAATACTCTTAGAGATACTATGGCTTAACTGTCACCTTACTTCTACAAAGGAGACTCTGAACTGACTATGTTGCTTCTGTAGGCATCGTAAAAACAAAAATGCCCTATTTGTAAGAAAATTCCACCTGCCGAGGTAGAATTGTTAGTCCCTTTGCTGTGCTTTCCAAATAGCACAATTCCACCAAATTATATTAAGTCTCTCCCAGTGCATAGCTCCAACTTCTCTGCTGGAGCATTCTGTAAATACATGCTCATTATATGCTAAAAATTCTTCTAGCCATCTTACTACCTATTTCAAGTTTGGATGTTTTAGGGAAGTAAAAATGAGCATAAGTTCTCCTGCAGCAGCCTATTTACCAAGCTGTGGAGGTGGCCCTTCTGATCCTCCTCCTCCCAGATAGAGAAAATCTCCTGCTCCTAATAAGCCAGTGAGACGCACTAACACCCCTCCCCATACAGCCAGCTCCACACAGGTGCCTGGAATATCACTGAGCACAAAGCAGGTGCAATCTCTGCCCTTATGGCCTAGTGTGGGAAATCAGACTGTACACATAATAAAGAAGTAAAGTACATAGTGTTTTAGAAGGTGCCAAATGATACAGAGAAAATGAAGAAGTGTAAAAGGGCTAAGAAGTACCAGGCAGTGAGGAGGAAGCAATTTCAAAGTAGTGAGGACAGGCTTTCCTTAGAACATGACATTTGAGCCAAAACCTGAAGTTAGGAGTGAGCCCTGCAGATATCAGGGAAGGAGAAAACACCCAATGTAAAAGTCTTTAGATGAAAATGTGTGTGATGTATTTAAAGAACAGGGAGGAGGCTAATAAAATAGAACAGAATGAGCGAGGGAGGGAGCAGCTGTCAAGAGGGCAGAGGACTGGCAGAGGCCACACCCTGTGAGGCCTGCAGAGCAGAAGGCTTTGGCTTTGACTGAGTGAATGAGGAGCCACTGAAGCATGCTGCCTCGTACCAGAAATATTTTAAAGTACTTCAAAATACTTTAAAAGAATGCGAGGTTTTGCTTTCAAAAGCTCCAGTTGACAAAGCTACTTCCTCTCTCCGAAGATTGTAATTTCTATGCCATCAGCAGGCCCCAGGCATCATGACAGTGCCAGGGCCACAGGTAGCAGCACATGGCACATCCGTACCAGTCAACTCAGACCTTAAAGTGCTTCTGTGGCCCAAAATGCAAACAAATTGAATGTCCAAATGTTTAAGTCTGTCCCATAGGCAATGTTGATCTAGTAAATGGTACCACCAGGGCTGTGGGAGGAGAAATGAGGGCCAGTGCAAATTCAGATCTAACTGACCCTCATCAAGATGACAGCAAGGACAAGGATGGAAAGTTGTGGCCAGGTGGCTGAATTGCTGCTCTATAGAATTGACTATAAATTAAATACAACAGAATTAAATATAAAGTCTAAGGCAGGAGTTATTTAAGTGAGATTAGCTCAAGGAGACCCATCATCTTTCCAAAGCTATATGCAAAAGTATGGTACGTGTGTGTATGAATGTGCAAGAATAATTGTTAAGGGAGAAAGGTTCATATTTTTATCAAAGTCTCAAGAAACTTTTAGCATTGTTTATGAAACTGGGTTTTTTTCTCATTTTAATTTATTTGCATTCAGAAGCTATTTATTGAAGAAATAAATACAGCAGTCTTTGTATTTACAGTTTTCCTGGATAGATAAGATGTAAACATGGGGAAAAATAAGTTACACATCTGCAATCAACTTTTGGATCAACCTAGAAATGGTTTTTCCCCAGAAATCTATCCTTATTTACAATGAAGGGAGGTGCAATAAGAAGTTTAAAGAGCTGAAAGATGTATACCTCACTTTTAGTAATATATGGTCGGTAAGAAGAACGATTGGTAAGAAACTTACTGCATAACTGCACCTTATTAAAAAAGAACAATACAAATGAGTGTACGAAATCAAGTAATAACATTTGTTTTATGTCATGAGATGCAACAGAAATTTAGAAAAAAAGAAAAAATATTAATTGGGTGTAATCTAGAAGACTTCATGGAAAAGGCAGAGCAGAGCTGAGCATGAGGGAAGACAGTATTGAATAGCTGAGACAGGCTCAGGAATCAATGTGTTGCAGGAAATTCCCAGCTCTGCCCCTTAGGGATTGTGTGACCTTGGATACCTGATTTCTTTATGTCTCTGTGACTCAGTCCAGTTATGGGAAGATTACATGAAACAATAAATGTAAAGTGTTCAGAACATGACCAAGCACATCATTCATGTCAGATAAATGGTTTTATCTCCACCAATTCCTTTACACATAACTGAGGTGACTCAAGCAGAGAATGGATCCATCTGAAAAAGCAGCTACTGACACCACAGCTAAAGTATTTTTTTTCTAAGAGTCCTTTAGAGGCCCTCAGAGATGCTAACGCATGATTAAGCTGCTGTACTTTCTGAAGAATTCTTCCTGGGCCACCCCAGCAAGTCTCCCCAAATACCTCAAAACATGGCCTTATGCTAAGGGCCTTGCACTCCAGTTATTCTAGCGTATGTCAGAATCTTCCCGGTCCACCTCCTGCTTCAGATGCGTGCCTGAATGACAACCATGGATCTCCACAAAATTGACAATAAATAAGCAGGAGCAGCAATGACAGTAATGTTTCACACGCCTGAAAGTGAAGAAGTAATTTGAAAATGTCTTTTTTCTTTTTTCAGGTAATCCAGATCATGATTGGATTGATGCACCTCGGTTTTGGAATTATTTTGGGTTTAATATGCTTCCTTTATGAACACAATTTAAGTTTTCTCTCTTTTGCTTTTATTGGTGGATACCCATTCTGGGGTGGCCTTTCTGTGAGTAGTTTGCTGGAACACCTCTCCTTTTTGGTTTATAAAGTATTGATATCTCCAGCCAAGTCACAACTCGTTTCTCGATAAAGCCCTACAACCGAGGGCTAGAGAATGTAAAAACATTAACAGCTCTGAATGAGCATAACAAGTTGGGAATTTGTTCCCCATTTTACCTAGGAGCTTATCCCGTTCTTAAAAATTTATTCTAATCATGTAATCAGCAAGCCAAAGTTTTGGTTTCCTATTACATTTGAGATGGAAATGTATATGCTGTGGGGAGAGTGACCAAAAATAAATAAATAAATAATAAGGTGGTTAGAAACATGATTAAAAATATGCAAGTCAGCCAGGCATGGTGGTGCTTGCATGTGGTCCGATTTACTTGGGAGTCTGAGGCAGGGGAGTTGCTTGAGCTCAAGAAATTGAGGCCAGCCTGGGCAATATAGTGAGACTCTATCTCTAAAAACATTTTTTTAATTAAAAAAATGCAATTGATTATGAGAAGGAATTGAGCAGTAAGCCTCAGAACAAGGAATGCTTACACATTTCTTCATAGGCCAGAAACTAAGGAGAAGAAAATAAAAGAGAACTCAAGGACGTATGCCTGGGAGTTACTCCAGAGAATTCAGAAGTGTCAGAGAAAATTTTGACAAGGAAACTAGATGAACATAAATAGACTAACCTTTCGTAAAAAGATAAATTCCCAAGCACAATCAGTTAACCCATTTCACAAATAAATGTGTTCATTTCCACAGTTCATTATCTCTGGCTCTCTCTCTATATTAGCACCCAAGGAGCTTTCTCCTTTTCTGGTAAGTTAGAGTGTTTCTACTTTTTGAATCCCTTTTAAGATTAGCTTCATATATTGGGGAGGAAAATTGAAAAGTTGGATTTGGGAAATGCAAAAGGGAGCAGGTTTCCCCAAAAAAATCTATTGGTTGCCTCATGATCTGAGTGATGGGGTGGGAGAATGGTCCACATGTTTGCCACTAAGAAATGGCAGAGCTTGACATCCTGACCCTTGAACTCACAAGGCTGAGAAATAGTAAAAATCAGGATTCTTTAAGCTTTAACCTAAATGATCCCTGGTTCAGTCAGGTCACACTGCATTACAGGAAGTCCAAAGAAGAATCCAGGAGCCAGGAAATGCCTACTTGCCATATCAGTCACAAAGCCTCTGCTGTTTATCTGTCGCTTCTCAGCTCTGTCTTATATTTTTTTTTTCACTTGTGCGTCTTTCCTACTCTTTCTCAGATTGGGTGTGTGTTTTACAACAATTCTTTAAATTGCCATTAAATGAGTCTAACTTGTCGGATAAGAATTGTTTATAAAAATGATCAGTAAGATGGGACTTTCAGTTCTCTCGGTCACAGCACCCCACCTATTGCAATTTCCTGGTTTACTGTTGAACCAGGAAGAAGGAAGTGATTTACCAAGAACTAGAGTCAACTAGAGCAGAGGTGGTTCCAAGATTATACGTAATCCCGCACAGAGGAAAGAACATGGAAGGAGGAACACAGAATCATGTAGGTCGTGCTCTTGCAGACAAAACAAGAATAAAATAATTAAATCACATTGAAATAAAATAAAATAAGCCTAATTATGATTAACCACTCCTGTTGTAGTCCAAAAACAAAATAAAACATCCTTTCCCTGCATCCTTTATGGATCCTTCCCTCTAATTGAGATTGTCCAAGCACAGAATCCATCCTCCTAGAGGAGACAACCACTGACACTTACCTAAGACAATTTTTCTAAGGAGCTTTGAGAGGCCTTCAGGAGACTCTAAGGCATGCCGCAGCACAAGCACCTTCTAAAGAACTCAACTATGCCACCCCTAGCAAGTCAGCTGAGGACTTAGTTTCACAATTATTCTTCTGCTTGTCAAAATCCTATTGCAGAAACTGGGGAAAGCTTTGTAGTCGCCCATACACCTCTGCTCACAAAAGCCTAAAGAGTTTCTCCTTCTAAATTCAGGGATTCATATTTACCCCCTAGAGAGACTTAAGGTTTTCATTCATTCCAGAATTATTTAGCAAACCTGTTGTGTCTAAATACTTTTCCACCTTTGAAATCAGATGCTATCGTACTACCTCATACAATGGCTCTAAGAGTTAAATGAGATCATTTAAATAGTTTAACACAATGTTTGCCACAGAAGAATGCTCATTAGAAATTTGTTTTTTCATTTTTCTCTTAAAGAAAATATGGCTGTTATTGTGCACGAGGCTTTTAGAAAAATACAATAGATGAGAGCCTGCTTTATATGATTTACATTTTTCTGCAGCTTTTTAGAAGTACCCTACATCTAGGCTGCATACAGAATAATGTTTATGGTAATTACTAAGAAGAGCAGAAAACAGAATCCTTTCAACTTGAAAACTTATTTCGAAATTTTAAAAAATAAGAACCACGAAATTTGATTGATTATTTCACTTAACTTCATTGATCCTATACATAATTGACTTTTTTCTGCCACCTCCATTAGCTGAGAAGCAGCCTGGGAATGAACATTGTTAGTTCTATCTTTGCCTTCATTGGAATGATTCTGCTGCTGGTAGATATGTGCATCAATGGGGAATTTTACCAAGATTACTGGGCCGTGGTAAGTATCCCACAATCCACCATCTGCCTGCTCTCTTTTCAGTCCCATAAAATGGGAATATTATTTATCTCTTAATACTGTACACCAGCTCTTGTGGAAAATCTTTTTTCTATTCTAGCTGCATCCCTAGTCGGATGAGCTCTAGGTCTATAGAATAAAGTGAGAGGGTTACCTCTACAGACAGACCAAGGTTTACCAGACATCCCTTACTGGCCCATCTCGCTGTCAATCACATGAAAATGGGAAAGGATTTGGATAGGCCTCTATGGCTTCTAAAATTGTCCAAAAATTATTTTCCCAGCATTTAAAATTCTATATAAATAAGGTAACCAAATTATTGAGTGTTTTTTTTAAATTTCAGAGTAAAATATGAAGTGAGAGGTAAATGACAGGGATAAGAACATCCAGTTTTTACAAAGAAACCCAAGGAATGAAGCAATTGCAAAATGAAGCACATGCCTCTGAATGTGCTCAAACCACGCATTCATTAGCCTTATATAGCCATGCATGGACTCTGATGTTAGGAGGAAAGGGTAGCCCGAGAGCAGGGATATGTAAATTACCATCCATAAGAAATGGAGGAACATGGTATAAAATGAGGTTGGACTGGAAGCTCTCGTCTTACTTCAATGGCCATGTTAACAGTTTTAGTCTTCATTCTGTGAGGAATGGAAAACCACAAAAGAGTGGTTTGATTGGTTTTGTTTTATTTTGTGATGGGCTTGGTTTTGCTTTTGCTTTTCAATTTAAATTACTGTGGGCTACGTGCATCTTAAGAAAGACACTGAATGACTTCCTTATATATCTAGAAAATATTAAGACAATATCGCAATATTTTGAACAAATAATGACAATAATGACAGGGATATAGTCATTATTGTGCATGTTATTTTTTTTTTTCCAGAGAAGTTTGTATTTAGGCCTTAAGCTTTTGAAAATAAAGTTTAGAGACATAGCATATGAATACCACCGTAATACACATGAAATATTCTATCAGACCCTAAAAATTAACATTTTCCTTATCAGTTCACTCAGTACTGTGTAAGCAATTCTGTTCCAAGAGTGGCAGCCTTACGAAGCCATCAGCTTCTCAGCTAAAGGATTCTGAAATCCTGACTCCAACCACTGGTATGATCTGAAAGTTGTCTAAGCACTGCTATCGGATGCCTGTCCCCTAGAACGTGTTGTTGAAAGTGTCAATAGTTTGAACTGCTGGCACACTCATTTTCCACTGAGCTCTGAGACACTCGTTCTTCGTTAAAAACATAGTAGAATTTTAGGCAGGGAATTTGAATGATCACTTTTGTGCTTGGAAAGGACAACACTGCAGTGTAAGGAAAAGCTTATAGAAGAAGGTGTATTAGTTTGCTTTCACACTGCTGATAAAGAAATACCTGAGACTGGGAAGGAAAAGAGGTATAATGGACTTATGGTTCCACATGGCTGGGGAGGCCTCACAATCATGGAAGAAGGCAAGGAGGAGCAAGTCATGTCTTACATGAATGGGGAAGGCAAAAAAAGAGCTTGTGCAGGGCAATTCCTGTTTTTTAAAACCATCAGATCTCATGAGACTCATTCACTATCACAAAAACAGCACAAGAAAGACCCACCCCCATAATTCAATCATCTCCCACCAGGTCAGGTTTCTCTCACAACATGTGGGAATTATGGGTGCTACAAGAAGAGATTTGGGTGGGGACATGGAGCCAAACCATATCAGGAGGCAAAGATAGATGAAAAAGCTTCTTGGTTTAAAAAAAAAATAAGACAGAGTGAAGCAAGAGCAAAATTCATCCTCTAAAATACCAAACAAAATAACAAAAATTATTCAAAAAAGAAAAACAGCTTTTAAACTGGCATCCAAGTAGAGAAACAAATCACTCTGATGCTACTCAAAGTAGCAGAAGAAAAGCACAGCTTTTAGGCTTGGCTCTTGTTTCCCTAGAAACAAAACTGAGGGAAGAACAAAGGAAAGCCAAAAACTACTGAGAGGTCTCACTAGCACCCTCCAGTCTGTAGCTAAGAAGGCTGGAGTGGACAGCAGTCAACTCTGAGAAAGGATAAAGCAAATTCTGTATTGTACAAGACCATAGGTAGTACCAGGACCTCAAGAGACAGAAGAAATGGCAACACCTTCCAGTACCCTGCATGGTACTCTGCTACCAGCAAGGAAAGAGCAGAAATACACAGGAGCAGAATAAACCTCTAGCCATGGAGCAGGCCTCTGTACTGAGCATTTAGCAGACTCTCAGAAGACAGAAAAAGCAAAGTCCATGTTCACTAGCAAGAACTGTGATCAGGGCCAGCTAATCTCTCTTTCTCCCTGAAATAGCTATATGTTCATATGCAGAAACATGGATATAAAACAACAGCTAGGGCTCAAGTTGTAGATGGAAACAGGAAGACAAATGGGACCCAAATAAACAGAAGTATGAACAACGGAAAATCGACCTACACTGTATCTGGTCAAATAGGCTTGTAGCACCTAAGTCATGAGACTGTCACATAGAGTTCAAGTGAGTTTAACACTTTTATTTAAAATAGAAATAACATGATTCCATTTTTATAAAATGATGCTCCTCTCACTTGGTTATTCTCTTTTTTTCCCATCTCTCATGGCATCTTTTCAAGCATCCATTCTTCCACCTTTTCCCAGTACACAGAGAGCTAGAAGAATAGTCATTAAACATTAATTGTGGTTATTTCTAAGCAGTGACATATGGAATGATCAGCTGGTTCTATATTGCTTGAATTTTTTAATGAGTAGAAACATTTTTATTAAAAAACAATGAGGCCATCACAAAGGAAAATAACTACCTTCTTTCTAATTTCTGGACAAAATAGTCTACTTGCCAAAAGGAAAGACTTCTGGCATTTTAAAGAAATTCCAAAGTAAATTTACATTCTTCTGAAACAAGCATTTGATGATAATGGAAGACTAATCATGGAGCGAGTTGAGTGTAAGCAGTAGCACACTTGATGAGTCAATAACTTTTTGAAGCCCACGTGAGGCCCTCCTGGTTAGCCAAAATTTCACTGTTTACTTATTATTTCAGCTTTCTGGAAAAGGCATTTCAGCCATGCTGATGATCTTCTCCCTGCTGGAGTTCTTCACGGCTTGTGTCACAGCACATTTTGCCTACCAAACAATCACCAGCACCAACATGGTGAGTTAGCTCTCTTCTTTGTAAAACTATCTGAAAATGCCCTGGAGAAATACAGACTCGTGTCAGCTAAATCCAAATATGGCCTTACCGGAATGCTGTTTGTCCTTGACTATGGTGGTACCAGGGGAAATCGTGTAGGACTGTAGTAACCATATTGCCTGTTTTTATTCATTCCTTCCAGTCTGTCCTGGCTGCTCCAACTGTGTATGCAAATAGCCATTTGACACCAGAGTCTTCTTCAGCTCCTCCCAGACACAACGACTACCCAGCTTATGCCCCTAGATATTAAAAGAAAAAGGGGCATCAGTCTAATTTCATGGGGAAAAACTACCAGCACAAACTTCTTAACAAGGTGTCTTTTATTGTTCACAATGATTTCCAGACTTTAAAGACTGTGTTTGAGATTTGTCTTTAGGCTGGTCACTAATGATAGCTCTCTCTCTCCTCTCTGTGTCTTCCGACATTACCACTACTACATGCTGGCAAAGGTGAAGGACCAGAGAGGACTGAAGAATGATTTGCAACTCTCTTAAAGTTAGACGTTTTTCTGTTCATGTTACTGTTCCCTTAATAAAATGTCACTAGAAACAAAAGCCTTTTTCAGTATGTTTTAAAATTTGATTTTGGTTTTACATTGGTTGTGGAGTAGTAGATCTGACCTATACTCCAAGAAGATCGATAAACCTTCTTCGATGATGATTTTTCTAGGTATCCAGTCACTGGAGTTCCCTAATTCATCTCCTCGTCTTTCTGTTCAGAAAGCAAATGTCCAACTGCCCTTGTTGGAGGTTACATTATTTTATACATTAATATCATCAAACATCTTGCCTCTTAAATAACTACAAAATGTTGCTACTTACAGAGTATTTTCACGTACATTAAACTCACCTGCAATGGGACAACAGTATGACAGGGATGCTGCATGGAGGAGTTTTCATTAGAGTTTTTTTTTTTTTGTCTTTTTGTTTTTGAATTGTGGGCACATTTCAAAGCCAATTAGAACAACCAAGGTAAGAGAGAAGTGACAAATGACAATGTAAGTTCAATGAATCAAAAGTACAGATGGAAAACATCACCTAAGTCATGAGATCATCACAGATATTCACAGATTTGCAACAATGGTAGTGAGTACATAAGGAAGACCAGATATGATGGCTCACATCATCCCTGTCAAAGCAGTAGTGACAACATGCCAAGGGAGGGGCAAAGGTAGAGTCAGAATATGGAACAGAATGGTAACATGGAAAAAGTCATGGAACTGTAGAATACAGTGATCAGAGCAACAGGATGGCCAAGCTGCACAGAGGGCACATTTGAGGATCTGGTAACAAATTGAAAGTAGGAACGAGTTGCTCCAGAACGAATCTGCCTTGCTGCTAGAGCCAGGTGAACTATGGGTCCAGGGAAGCGATCTGTTTGATTTTATCTAGGGTTAAGATTTTGCTAGAGGAGATGACAAAATAGCAGAAGGGCAAGAAAGCTTAGGACATTGTAAAAAATATTTTTTAAATGATGGACTGTGGAATCCAAACGGGATAAGGAAGGAATAATAGTAATAATAATAGCAATAATCAAGAAAAAAGACAGATTGATCAAAAATGGAGAAATCCGCCTTTTCTCCAGGAGCTGTTGTGAGATCAAATGAGATTCTGTTATATAAATATGGTTTGAAAATAGCAAAGCATTGTCCCTTTTTGAAATTGTAATATTATTAAAGAAGCCAGAAGGGGAAAAAAACATGGACAAAAAGAGTAGGCAGAGAAATCAAAATAGGGAAAGAGGCTAAGAACAGAATTTTTGCATCTGGGGAAGCAGATGTATTATATCAGGTGACAGCCACATATTTCAATGTCATTGGCCTGCCTGGGTCCCAACTCTTCAGCAACTTGGGTGATTAGAAATGCTGTGTTCTTCATCACGAAGCTCAACAGCTCAGCAAAAGTGAAGACATAAATTTCATGATCTGAGGGTCTAGGAAATAAATGGTGCCCCCAAAATGTGTGGGGGTGGTATATTATATATCTATCCATGTAAAATAAACAAATATAAAAGTAACTTACTTTAGGGAACAGAAAAGCATTTCCAGCAAAGTTCACTTTTTTAATAAATTTCTATCAAATATATTCTATTTTTCAATTTGCTTTAATAATAGTAATAATAACAGGATATATTTAGCCCATTCTTTGTACCACTCACATTCCAAGCACTATTTCAGTGCTCACAATGACCACCTGTGAGGCAGACGCTATTATTAGGACCATTTTCAGATGGAAAAACTTTGGTAGAGAGGTTAAAAATCTTGCTCTAAAATATGTAGCCAGCAAATGGTGAAGCAGGGATTTGAACCCAGACAGTAGGACTCCCAGCTCGACAGTCCCCCTAACCATTATTCCCACTATTCTTATGGTCTTAGATAGAATCAGACATTTGTAATTACAAAACAAACAGAAATGCTTCTCTATAGTAAGCTTGTAATAAATTTGGAAGAAATTGTCTCATTCTCTGATAGGAGAGAGGAGATTTAGTAATATAATAATACAGTTGACCATTAAACAACACAAGTTTGAACTGCGTGGCTCCACTTTTATGCATGTTTTTTCAATGTGGGTAAAGTCATGGAAATGAAGAATAAACTGATAAGAGAAACAGAGGACTGCCAAGCTATACGGAAGAGTACGTTTGAGGGAATGTTAACAAATACATACTATGAACAAATTTCTCCAGCTGGACTTGTGATCTGAGACCCTAGAAGGTAACTGGAATAAAAATATTATATAGCAACACAAAGGTCACATGCTTGCTATTATTTAAAGGCCTTATAGTATTTTCATTCTGGAAAATCTTTTAAAAATGTTTATTTGGCCGGGCGCGGTGGCTCAAGCCTGTAATCCAAGCACTTTGGGAGGCCGAGGCGGGTGGATCACGAAGTCAAGAGATCGAGACCATCCTGGTCAACATGGTGAAACCCCGTCTCTACTAAAAATACAAAAAATTAGCTGGGCATGGTGGCACGTGCCTGTAATCCCAGCTACTCAGGAGGCTGAGGCAGGAGAATTGCCTGAACCCACGAGGCGGAGGTTGCGGTGAGCCGAGATCGCACCATTGCACTCCAGCCTGGGTAACAAGAGTAAAACCCCATCTCAAAAAAAAAAAATGTTTATTTATTCATTCGTCTGCTTAAAAAGAAGTATTACACTACTACTTTGTCATTTAAAAAAAACCTCTGCTATTACATAAAATTTAGGCTTTACATATTTTTTTCATGTAGGGTAATGTAAAATGAAGTATAGTAGGATTTATCTAAATGTCAGTGAACATATGCTTTTTTCATGCCCAAGTAATTAATGATGGATTTGTATACAAAGATTTTGCCTAAGAAATATAACTTAAGCTACACACAAACACATTACACACACATCTCGAGTACTTCCTATATTTAGTCTCTTCCCTCCTCAGAAGAACACAAATCATTATTACATCTCTAGGACTCTAGGGTGTCTTCTAATTCTAAATTCTAAGCCGTTAGAGAAGGTCGATAATTCCCCATGAAATACATGGTCAGAATGATCTTTCAAGAGTCTATAAATGTATCTTAGATAAACATGTGTCATTGATTCATGTCTGGCCAAAACAACATTTCTGAAAGCTGTCTTTCCCAGAACATGTTTGCACTTGTCAGGACCTTCTAATAATCAATTACAATTGTCCTCTTTTCCCACAGAGCAGATGCTGGCCAAACCTACCCTAAATTTGGACAACTGGGGGTGGGGTGCAGAGTCCCTAGGCATCTTTTTGCAGGGGTGATTTGCATCAAGGAAAAGATGCCACAGAAATTTTGAGTTCAGGATCTGACGCTTAAGCTGAAAGATCAGAGTCCATTTGCCAGCCTCACCTCAGTGGGAGAAAGGGCTATGCTCCTCATTTGTGCATGGATTATAACCAGGCTCCTCCTCTGTAAGGAAGACTAAAGAAAATGCAAGGCTGTTTGAACACCTCCAGGGCTCTGGTGCTTAGGGAGCACTGGGAGACAGCACCTGTGGTAAGGCAGCCTTCTTTTGCTGCAGAAACTGTAGCAAAGCCTGAGAAGACTACAACTTACCTGGTAAGTGGCTGCCCCCTACACACAGGAACAGCTCAGCTCAGGTCTGCTGGAGAGCAAATGTGAAAATTCCGGGGACTCCCAGAAATACTCTGGAAATGGGGATTTGAAGAGAACAGGGGTCATTCCTCAATGGACAGGGATGGAAACCAGGCCAATTGGGCCATACAGTCCTGCTAATTTCCACAGGTTGCAGAGGTCTTGGATACCAGTGTTTTCCTAAAGTTGATTGATTTCTGTCTTTTTCTCCTCATTTGCATTTAAAACAAACCAAGAAAATTTATAACTTATAACTGTTCTCTCTTTTCTCCTAGCTCTCCCCCATCTCCCTCAGTTCCCTGGATTCACTCTTTTTTTTATTATTTTTTATTGGATTTTAGGTTTTGGGGTACATGTGCAGAACATGCAAGACAGTTGCATAGGTACACACATGGCAGTGTGTTTTGCTTCCTTTCTCCCCTTCACCCACATTTGGCATTTCTCCCCAGGCTATCCCTCTCCAGCTCCCCCCCCCCCGCTGTCCCTCCCCTTTTCCCCCCAATAGACCCCAGTGTGTAGTACTCCCTTACCTGTGTCCATGTGTTCTCATTTTTCATCACCCGCCTATGAGTGAGAATATGCGGTATTTCATTTTCTGTTCTTGTGTCAGTTTGCTGAGAATGATGTTCTCCAGATTCATCCATGTCACTCTTAAAAACAAATCACTGTTACCAAATTCTGGCAGCTCAGCAGTGCTCAAGGGGCTTTATTCAATCTCTTTCTCCACACACACTTCCCGGGGGTCTCCATTTGGTTTAGACCTCATGCAAAATTTCACTTTGTATTTCACAACTCCTTCTATTCTCCCAAGTATTTAGCAACACTTTAGAATATGGGATGGACTTTTAGGCCAAATGTCATTTCATACATTCAAACAATGCTACAATGGGTACTTCAGGAACTTAACTTTACATGTGAGAAATGAAGTGAAAAAGTAGAGAAGTGGAATACATACAGCCAGAACTGGAGCTGGAAACCATCCCTAGACCTCGTGATTTCTTCAACAACATTCTTTTTGCAATTCCATGACTGTCACAGCACAGAGCTCTTTCTGAAGGAGGCTTGGAGGAAGAAAACGGGGTAGGAAGATAGGCTACAGATTCTGGAGCTAGATTTAGACTGCTGGAGTTAGAACCTCAACTCCTAACATTTATAAGCTGTGTGACTCTTAAACTTCGCCAAACCTCAGCATTCTCATCTGTTAAAATGAAAATATCAGTGGTATGTACATCATAGGCATGTGGTGAAGTTTAAATAAAATAAGCAATATAAGGCAATTAACATATTGCCTCAGCATAGTAAATGCAAGGAAAAAAAGCAAGATAAGTTTAAACTATTAATTAGCATTTTACTACAGAATAGTATATAAGTTCTATAGTAAACATGAAAACTGAAATCTCTCTCTATATATGTACACCTGTATGTTTCTACATACATACATATAGATTAGACTTTACATAAATATACATAGGCATGGATATTGCTTTTCTACAATGAATTCAACTGTTTAGTTTCCCAGGTTTGCATAATTTCCATTTTTCTTTACTAGAACACCCTGGTGTTTACATAAAGGAAACATCTGTTTTCTCTACTGTATAAATAAATAAAATTCCTCAAAGAAATATGGACAAGTTATTTTATAAGGGCTTATAGCCAACAGGGTCCTTGTAATAATCCCCAACAATGGTTTTAACAATATTATATAGGAATTGTAGTTCCAGCACATTTTCCCTAGTGTCTTTTGTATATTGGGAACCAATTCAAGACAAATTAACAATATGATCCACATGAAGAAATAAAAGTCACATTGGATGTCAAACCATGACTGACTGATTGCCTCTTCATTGCTGAATAATACAGTGTTTTTAACAACCAAAGGTTAAAAATTAAAACGAATTCTGAATCTCCAAATCCAGTTTACAGGTACTGAGAAAATCAATGGTGCTTTTACCGGTCAGTGATATTACCAGAAGAAATAAGATGCGCTGAGGAACAGGGCCTGTCTCATAGTTTGGTTCACTCTTCTATTTTTGCCTATGTTTATACTGAATACACATTTTGGCCTGGTCCAAAAAAATAAACAAATCCATGATAATTTCCAGAGACTATTGGCCAACCCTTAAATGAAGAAATATGCCACTTCTCTCACAAATAATCCATCAATCTTGGCAGCAAGTTACAATGGGGGTCCCTCTCATCAGAACTGGCTCTTTCTACTACGGATTCTTTGAAAAAATCCATAACCCTGAGGTTGAAGACAAAATTCCTCTTTCTACAGCAAAGAGAATGCTTAATATAATCCATCAGTCTTGGCAGCAAGTTACAATGGGGGTCCATCTCATCAGAACTGGCTCTTTCTACTACGGATTCTTTGAAAAAAATCCATAACCCTGAGGTTGAAGACACAATTCCTCTTTCTACAACAAAGAGAATGCTTAATATTATCAGAGCCCTCTTGCTCATAGACAAGAAACTCACAAAATAATAATAATGTTAGAAAATGAAGTGATATATTACTTAAGAATAAAACTATTACCTTCAATGACATACTGACCAATACAAAATGAGCCTGGGCTTTTTGTTTTTCTTTGATTTGAGGGGACTCTGGAGTCCCAATGTATGTAAGCTAGCTGTGAGACTAAAAATAACGTTTCCCAGTTTACAGCTGATTTTTCAGGCTATAAAAGATCTTGACCGCTGTTAGACACACTCATGATTTAGCTTTTGCAAATAAAGGTGTTGGAAGCACAGAAAATTTCCTTATCAAAGAAAAACCTATCTTGTTTTCTGCATGTTTTACTCGCTGGCTATCATTCACTAAAAATTTACATTCCAAGCTGGAATTTTAATTTTTCCACAATGCCAATCTAAATTTTCCATGAATAAATGAGAAATCGCATTGAGGAGCTGTTTTCCAGATACTTTAAACGCCTCAGTAAGTCCTCATGGCTGCCTAACAGGATGATCTGTACTCCTCAGCTAACACACCTCTTCATAAACACTGTTTTAACTACTGTCTACATCTCAAATAGAAAACTGACACCATGTATTACCTAAAAGGTAAACCCACCTCAGCAAGTTGATCAAAAAGTCATTCTGGTGTCTCCTTAAACATTACTCTCATCACTAATTTCCTTCTTTGGTCTTTTATGCTTAAAGAAAAAAAAAATGAGCCTTTGACTCAGCCACTTCATTCAAAAGTGCACCTTCCAAAGTGCACTTGTGGTCAAAATTTTTCTTTGAAGACAGAAAATGTGAAGGGCTGACTTTTCCTCAGTGATCCTGGTCCCTGTGCAGCAGGTGCATATAAAAAACGCACCAATATGGGCAATCTCAGGATAGAAGTTTGGAGAAACCATTCCCAGAGACACCAAAAGGTAGTTGACGGTTTGCCTGACCACGTGGCTGCCAGGCCCCTAGTGAGTCTGCGCCCACACACTCCCTCCGGCCCTGCAGCTCCTGAGTGGGTGCGCAGGCGCAGTAGGAGCACGCCGTTGCCATTGGAGACCGTTACCCTCAGGAACCTGAGGGCGGGCTTGGTGCTGGGCTCCGGCCTATCCCTGCGATGATCGCTCAGCGGGGTCTGGCGACCTGGCACTGAGCACGCTGCCAGCCGGGATCTTCCTCTTCATCTAGGCCCAGGCGCTGGCGTGAGAAACCCAAACTGGGTGCTGGACAAGCGCCCCCTAAACTCCTTGGGACCTTCAACAAGTAAAATGCAAGGTAGTGATGTCGCTTTGCTGGAGTGATTTCATGTCAAAAGCCATAAAGGGGCATGATCATGGTGCTCCTCTCCCCACAGCCTCCCTGTTCTCTTATCATCTTCTCCCTCCCTCATCAGAGTCTGGGTCTTAACGACACCCCGCCCCCCACCAACGCCACGCCCCATTCTTGATTTGAACCAATATTGAGTATCTGGGTTCCAGCCCAAGACTGTCCTTGAACATACCAAAATGAATTCCTTGACTTCTGGGAGCACCCATTGACTTGGAAGCCAGTCCTGAAAATCGAAAGAATATGCTGTGATAGGACTTATGGTTAGAACGTTAGGGGAACATGGAGTGGGGCATCTAACGGACTTGTGAGTCAGAGTAGGAATGGCCAGGATGAGGTTGAGAAAGTGGGCAGGGAGCCGTTCACGACAGGATTTACACGCCCTGCTAAATAATTTGGACTTGATTCTGAGGGCGCCAAGGGGCTGCACCCCTGCTAAATTAGATGCTAAAGATAGAGAATGGTTTCCAGATAGGAGTTTTCTGCGACTATTTCAGAATTTCTACATAAAGCAAGTTTAGGGGCTAAGAATGGGTTTGGGAGTGAGAGTTAGGGGATTCATCCCGCAGCTGCTTTTGGATTAGTGACTTTAGTGATTTTAAATAAATTAGTGATTTTATTCAGGATCACCCAAAAATAAAAACAAATGATTTATTTATTTATTTATTTTTACAAGTAATGGGATGTTTAACTGAGTTTACAATACTCAGACACAGACTGATTTAAAAAACGAAAAGAATTCCAACCATCAGGTATTGCAGGAATATGTTGTAGTATTTCTTAGTTTGTTCCTTTCGTCAATTAACCTGAGAATTTTAAACACCCACACGTTCTTTTTCTGATTGGTATTTTTTAGGAATTACCAAACCTGGCATGGTTTGGGTAGAGGCCTGATAGAGATTGCACTGAGGCCAGATATTCTGCTCCCCAAGTCAATTCATGGTGCTTCCACTGTTAACAACTAAAGTGAGAAGAATTTTCTACACAGTCATCCCTCCATATCTGCTGGGCAGATGCCAACATCAAAGGGTGCTCTAGTCCCAATTGCAAAATGATGTAGGATTTGCATGTAACGTGCAAACCGCCTATACTTTAACTCATCTCTAGTTAATATCTAATACAATGCAAATGCTATGTAAATAGTTGCTATACCACATTGACGATTTTATTTGTATTTTTACTGGCATATTTCTTTTAATATTTTGATCCACAATTGGTTGAATCAGACCAAAAAGAGGGCCAACTTATAAATGAAAGGGCTTATTTTAATTTTTTTGTTTTCTGCAAAGTGACAAATAATAGCAATGTAGACATACTGTTCCTTATTATTCTATGTGGGTTCTGTAATTTTATGGCTTTTTATTTAATCATAACAGAGTGATTATTTTTGATTGTCTGTACTTCTAAACATGTTGCTATTTCCTCAAAGATAGTGTTTGAATGTATAAAGCTTACTTTAGTTAATAACATATTGTTTTCTGTCTTTTGCTATTACTAATCTGTATTCTAGCTTTTTCTGTCTCTATACTTAATAGCATTCAGAGACATTGAGAAAACAAATTTTAGAAAAGAAAGACTTATTGAAATAATGAAGTCATGAGATTTTAAAAGTACAGAGAATGAGAGTTCAATTGGCCAAATTCGTTTCTGGAAAGATAAAGCATCAGATTAAGATCATGTTAGTGGGTGGCATGACTCAAGTTATTGACCTGTGTAAGCAGAACATACTAGCAGATGTAGAATTCCAGATCTAAAAATAAATGAAATCCGCAAAGGGATATCATTATTAGCCAGGTTTTTAATCTTAATATAAATTTGGAGATGATCTGAACAACTAAGAGAAAGGTAGGAATAACAGGGGAAAAAAAAGACCAGGAAATGCATTAACATTGTGGGAGCAACTTTAATAAGTTGTCTGATAGAATAAAAGATTCTTTTCATATAGAAAGAACTGGGTACGAGGTATGTGTCAGGAAAAAAAAAATCATAAGCTCACATACTTGGTGAATTTAAGTACAAGAACTTGGTTTTGAAAATGCAAACATGGTACTATGAATTGCATTAATTACGAATTGCAAATGAATTGTTGAATGTTTTACCGAAAATTCTCTAATACTATTCCCTAGACATTCTTTATAATTTATCATCTCTGTTACTATTTACTTTGTAAACAGTAGGCACTGTTTACTACTCAGAGATCATATCTGTAAAATGCCAATATGTTTTAGTCATAGAGAGAGGCTTTGCAGTGATAGAGGCTGTTATTCAGAACAGGTGGATGAAAGTTAATGCCTCCAATATTAAGGCATAGAAAGAAGAAAGCTATTGCTTCTGAATTTGGGGAGGTGGTGGCCTAAAAACAAGGGAAGAATCAAACTTATGTATTTTCTTCTAAGAAAATCATGTGTATGTGCTTTGTATTGTTTTGTAGAAGTTTGCTATAAAGATATCACCAAAGACTAGAGAGAAAATCATCTAGAGGAAATGCTGGCAGTATGGCCTGTGTTCATTCAAAAATCTCTACAGCAGATTCTCTCGTTTTAGGGGTAAGATTACATTTTAACTGACTAAATTCAAGATCATTAACAATTTCTTTTTTTAAACGGATATCTTGGATCTGAAGAAGGACAGAGTTGTTTAAATCAAAAGGGTAAAAGTTTATGTTTTTGAAATGTGGATTGTCTTCTACAAATTTTGACTGATCTCATGTTCTTTCATAAACAAATCTGTGCTGGTACAGACTAAATCAGCACACACAGGATAATAGAGAAATCAAAGTAAGGTTTAAAAGGAAAAAAGAGAGTTCTGTACTTACATCTATATAGTAGGATGATTATAAATTTGTCTGTTAATTTATAAACATGTGAGGTTACAGTTTAGCTTTCTTAATAAACACCAAGGAATTATGAGGATCACGCTTTTTCACATCCAAAGGGGAGAAAACTTTTCCACTGTTGTGAACTTTTCCTCTGAATTTGAATGTTGTGGAGATCAATTATCTAAGTCTTCTTAACTATTCAGCAGAGGTTCTTAACCTCTTTGGGGTCACAGACCATTTTAGCATAGAATGAAAGCTCTAAATCTTCTTCCCAGGATTATGTACATGTCACAATCCTTCGCATTTTTTCCTTGGGAGCAGGGGGTAGGGGAGTCTGACCTCCTGGAATTCATATTGGCTCTAGATTAAGAATCATTTTTAAATAAGAAAACCTATCTTTTCCTTCTCCACACACTGGCAATTCTTTACAAATTTTGGCTAATTAGATATTTTATAGTTTTATTTAAAACAATAGCCAATGATATAAATAGAGCTAGTATTTTTCAACCCCACTTGCTTTTTTTTTAGCAGTTGGGAAAGTCACATGGAATCACTACTCTTGATACCACTATGCTTACATAAGACTTATTTGCCAGCTGCCTTCTCTATTCTGGGCATCATATGAGAGGTTGGTGTTAATAAGAGAAACAAACTCCAGGCCCTGCAGGATTTTGCAGTGTAGTGGAGGATATTTCTCCAGTCAAATCCAAAGAACTTCTGGAAATATTACCATTCTTGCAGATTGGATGCAAGGGGAAACTTTAAATTCTAAATCTATAAAAATGCATGATCGTCACCAAAAAAAGAGGCCTTTCCTTTAAAAAAAAATAAACTTCTCTAAAATATATTTTTAAAATGAGCCAATTGCACATGCATGTTTCATAGATTGTCTGCTTTGCAAAGAGCTGCAACTCTTAAAACATTAAATAGTTTCCTGTTAAAATTTATATGAACATAAAATTTATGTGTCCTCTGTCATTTTTAAAGAGTAATAAAAAATGTGATTAAGTATATGAAATATCAGTTCACATATAAATTCAGAAATAAATTTACTGGGATTATCATTATCTTCTTACAAATTAGAGTTGAGGAATAATTCTCCCCTATTTGTACTCCTTCCCCTGTCCAGTGGGAAAACCAAGTTCAAGCAAGTCTATTTTGGATATTTTCTGTATTGCTGTGTTGGATTATGCCTCACTCCAGCATATTTGTAAAAAAAAATTCATACCGGGCTGGGCGCGGTGGCTCACGCCTGTAAATCCCAGCACTTTGGGAGGCCGAGGCGGGTGGATCACAAGGTCAAGAGATTGAGACCATCCTGGTCAACACGGTGAAACCCCGTCTCTACTAAAAATACGAAAAATTAGCTGGGCATGGTGGCGCATGCCTGTAATCCCAGCTACTTGGGAGGCTGAGGCAGGAGAATTGCCCCAGGAGGCTGAGGTTGCGGTGAGCCAAGATTGCACCATTGCACTCCAGCCTGGGTAACAAGAGCAAAACTCCGTCTCAAAAAAAAAAAAAATTCATACCAAGTGCTCCTTCAATGAAAAGATAAATCAAGCCTTTATAAGATTCAAAAAGTGACTCATCTTTAATTAATTACTAATGTACAAGAAAATGTTGGATTTATGGCTTCCTGCATCCTAGTAGATTAGTAACCATATTTTCTCTGAAGCACCCCCAGTATTCTTCTCTTGTGCCACTATTTGATAGGTAGGGAGAATAGGCAGTGATCCAATCAAATGGTTAACTTACAAGAGAATTGGCCAGAGCTACTATTATTGAACAGCCTGTTGCTTTTGTTATGACTGATTCCTATTTGGTAAATCTCAGTCCTTCCTGATTTTGTCCTTCTTTCTGGGATAACCAATCCAGGAAATACGTCGTTAAGTACATTGGTGCATTACTGTTTTACTTTAGTATTTGAAAAGGTGCTAAATGCTTCTTATAGTTAACACTTATTGATATTGTGTTTTAAATACATTATTTTGGTACTAATAGCATTCTCTCCTCACAGGCTATCCAGATTATGATTGGTGTCTTTCATGTTTTCATGTGGTACTTCCTATTGGTTTTGTATATGGGACAAATTAAAGGAGTCTTTGGAACATATGAACCTATAACATACAAAACAGCATGTACTTCATGGGGAACTTTTGTGAGTAGAATACCTATACATTATTTTAATCATACAATAAATAATATTCATGCCAATAGTAGAAGATAGGGAACAGTTTATAAACAAGGTTTTCAGGAGAATTGTGTAACTAAATCCCATGTTGATAATTTATTCAAAGTCAGATTCCTTTTTTCCGCAAATATATATTGAGCACCTTTAATTTACAAAGTGCCGTTTCAAGACATATGGATACAGGAGTACATAATGACAACCATAAAGTAGTTTGTCTCTAGATATGTGAAAGACAAAGATCTTAACTATAATATCCATTAGAATGATTAACTTGCATGTTTACAATCTTCACTTTAGTCTCCTCACCCAATGAGTCAATACTCATTTTCTAAATTTTTCATTACTGACACTCTCCTGTGGTTTCTAGATAGCCATTAGGTAGGAGGAAAACCTGGAGGGGGTGGCACCCTGGAAGCCAAGTGAAGACTTTGTTAGAAGAAGTGAGGAAGGATCAACTGTATTATATTTTGTTGTTTTGTCAAATAAAATGAGGACTATGAATTGACCATTGGATTTAGCAATACAGAGGTCAGGAGTAAATTTTACGAGTAGTTTCGGTGGAATTGTGAGGCAAAAGTCTGGTAGGAATTGATTTAAGAAAATAACAGGAAAAGTGGAATTACAGACAGCAAATAGACAACTTCCTTAAAGACTTTTCTGTAATGTGGCATACAGAAATGGGGTGATGGCTGGGGAAATTTGGCTCAAGAGAGGATTTGCTTACTATTTTTTGTGAGTTGAAAGAAACAGCATCATCTTTTTTTGAGAGGACTGAACCAAAAGAAAGAAAATTGATGCTATGAGTAAATGGGGGTGGGTATGGGAAACAAGTGCTTGTGTGGGCAAGACATGATGAATACTGGTGCACAAATAGCTAGGAGAATAGAAAGTTCATCCAGGGCAGTGGTTCTCAGCTAGAGGTAATTTTGCCCCTGAGAACATTTTATAATGTCTGGAGATATTTTGGATTTTCACAGCTGGAGGTGCACATCAGGTGGGCAGGGGCAAAAGATGCTGCTAAATAGCCTGTGATCCTCAGACAGTCCCTCACAACAAAGAATTATCCAGCCTAATTATAAATGGTTTCAAGGTATGAAAACAGGAGGGAAAGGCAAAGAAAGAGAGGACAGTTTTCTTTGATAGGATGTTGGAAGCTTGTGGAAGTTTTTGTTTGTTTGTTTGTTTGTTTGTTTTCCAGTAGCTTCAAATATCTCAGTGAATTAGGAAGCAAGATCATGAACTGAGACTGAGGATGGGCAAGTGGATCAGTTGTTTGAGGACAAAAGAGAGAATGTGAAATAATCATCAAGGAAAAGTAAGAGAGTGCATGGATTGTGGAGAGATAGTTTTATTTTCATACAGCATTAAGGACACACTTGAGGTTTAGGAACGGGATATGGGTTGTATGCCCTTCTGAGGCCATGGTCAGCTGCATGAGTGCAGGCATGCAGTAGGAGGAAAACAATCAGGATTTTTGTTTAACAACTATAATAAAACAGGAAAGGTGCAAAATAGTTGCAAGTGGATATAAGGGAGTGTTTGTAAATGTTGGCCATGAAATTTAAGTTAGCAATGGAAAGAAGAATTTAACAGAGTTGAAGTTCTCAGATTATAGATCCAGGTGGGGTCAAAGGTTGTTCAAATTTTAATACTAGAGGACATGAGCTAGAAAGATAGCAGGTGGTGATCTGGTGGAATACTTGAAATTCAAATGTGAAAGGCACAGGAAGGACAAGAGAATGTCCTTATGGGAGTAAGTGACTAAGATAGTTTGGAGTCAGGGATTGGAGGAGAGAACAAGAACCACAAGCCCAAGATACTAGAAAGATGATATGGTTTGGCTCTGCATCCCCACCCAAATCTCATCTTGTAGCTCCCATAATTCCCATGTGTTGTGGGAGGGACCCAGTGGAAGATAATTGAATCATGGTGGGGGCGAGTCATTCCTGTGCTGTTCTTGTGATAGTGAATAACTTTCACAAGATATGATGGTTTTAAAAATGGGAATTTTTCTGCCCCTGACCCCTCTCAAATTTCATGTCTTCACATTTCAAAACTATTCATGCCTTCCCACCATTCAACTTCTGTTGGGACTTGTTGGGAAGTTCCACAAATCTTCCCAACAGTTCTCCAAAGTCTTAACTCAACATCAACTCAAAAGTCCACAGTCCAAAGTCTCATCTGAGACAAGTCGAGGTCCCCTCCACCTCTGAGCCTATAAAATCAAAGACAAGTTAGTTACTTCCTTGATACAATGGGGATACAGGCTTGGATAAATACAGCTGTTCCAAATGGGAGAAATTGGTTGAAACAAAGGCTACAGACTCCATGAACATCCAAAATCCAAAGCCAGAAGCCTGCTTCTGGCTTTCACAGACTGGTGTTGTCTGCGGCTTTTCCAAGCACAGAATGCAAGCTGTCAGAGAATCTACCATTCTGGGGTCTGGAGGATGGTGGCCCTCTTCTCACAGCTCCACTAGGCGGTACCCCAGTAGGGACTCAGTGTGGTGGCTCCAACCCCACATTTCCCTTCTGCACTGCCCTAGCAGAGGTTCTCCATGAGGGCCCCACCCTTGCAGCAAATTACTGCCTGGGCATCCAGGCACTTCCATACATCCTTTGAAATCTAGGCAGAGGTCCCAAACCTCAGTTCTTGACTTCTGTGTACCCATACACTCAGCACCACATGGAAGCTGCCAGAGCTTGGTACTTGCATTCTCTGAAGCCCTGGCCCAAGCTCTACATTGAATCCTTTCAGCCACAGCTGAAGCACCTGGGATGCAGGGCACTAAGTCTCTAGGCTGCACACAGTACAGGGGTCCTGGGTCTGGCCCAGAAAACCACTTTTTCCTCCTAGGCCTTGGGGCCTGTGATGGGAGGGGCTGCTGTGAAGACCTCTGACATGCCCTGGAGACATTTTCCCCATTGTCTTGAGAACTGACATTGGGCTTCTCATTAGTTATGCAAGTTTCTGCAGCCAGCTTAAATTTCTCATTAGGAAATGGGTTTTTTTTTCTATGACATTGTCAGGCTGCAATTTTTTTAAAACTTTTATGCTCTGCTTCCCTTATAAAACTGACTGCCTTTAACAGCACCCAAGTCACCTCTCAAATGCTTTGCTGCTTAGAAATCTCTTCTGCCAGATAACCTAAATCATCTCTCTCAAGTTCAAAGTCCACAAATCTCTAGGGCAAAATGTCACCAGTCTCTTTACTGAAACATAACAAGAGTCACATTTGCTCTAGTTCTCAACAAGTTCCTCATCTCCATCTGAGACCACCTCAGCCTTGATTTTGTTGTTCATATCATTATCAGCATTTTGGTTAAAGTCATTAACAAGTCTCTAGGGAGTTCCAAACATTGGCACATTTTTCTGCCTTCTTCTGATTTGTCCAAACTGTTCCAACATCTGCCTGTTACCCAGTTCCAAAGTCACTTCCACATTTTCTCGTATCTTTTTCAGCAGCAACCCACTCCTGGTACCAATTTAGTGTATTAGTCCATTTTTATGCTGCTGATAAAGACATGCCTGAGACTGGTCAATTTACAATAGAGGTTTATTGGACTTACAGTTTCTCATGACTGGGAAGGCCTCACAATCGTGGCAGAAGGCAAGGAGGAGCAAGTCATATCTTATGTGGATGACAGCAGGCAAAGAGAGAGAACTTGTACAGGGAAATTCCAATTTTTAAAACCATCAGATCTCATAAGACTTATTCACTAATCACAATAACAGCATGGGAAAGACCCACTCCCACACTCCCATGATTCAATTATCTTTCACTGAGTCCCACCCACAACACATAGGAATTATGGGAGCTACAAGATGAGATTTGGGTGGGGACACGGAGCCAAACCATGTCAAAAGATTGTGTGTGTGTGTGTGTGTGTGTGTGTGTGTGTGTGTAAATCACCAAAAATTAAGTCATGTTGAAGAGAGAGTCAAAATTTCACCTCATCCCTAAAGATGAATGGCTGAGGGGTCAATAGATTACTTCAACCATGAGGGATAGTGAGTGATAGAACCTGACATGTGACTCAAAAGTGGAGGAGAAAGAATGGTTGGATAGCAGTAATGAGCAAGGAAACCACTCAAGACATACTTGGAACAGATGTGGGCTTAACAGGAATGAGGGCTGTAGGATACAAAATGGCTGCCCCTTGAGACAACAAGTGATCACTAGAAGAAACAGTGATCTCTAGGAGGTTTCCCACTTTTATACACATACTAGCTTATACGTGTCAACTGATTGCCTTGGGAAAAAAATAGTGGAAAAATATTGAATTTTCACACAAAATTCAAATGATACATGGTTCATAAAGAATCCATGGCTCATAAATAACACACTGGTTCATAGGTGATAAGTGATAAATGACACACTGGCTCACAAATGTCAAAGCACTGCCTTGGGAAAAAATAGGAGAAAAATTGTGGATTTTCAGACAAACTCTAAATAAATGATGCACTTTCCTTAGTGTTTAACCATTCACATTATAAAAATAGTATATTTAACCCCAAAAATAACTTATCTAAAATTTTAATTTTAAAATTTAAAAATAGTATATTTAACCCCAAAAATAACTTATCTAAAATATAAATTAAATATAATTTAAAACTAAACTTCTCACTTAAGCCTAAACTTTGAACGGCATTTTTTAAAGCACGTGGTAATCTAAAGATAATCTCATTAGAGAGCACTCTAGTTCAAAATTCACAAGATATTTTCACTTTATATTCTGAGCTAGCTCTTACTTTCACTGTGTACCTCCTTAAAAATCTCAGCTTTTGTTGTGGAATGAAGTGCTGAACATATAGATTTAAAATTATCCATGGGCAGTTTGTAAGCTTCAGGTTTGGGCTTCCAATGTATAGTGTATAGTGTGACAAAAATAGCCTTTGACTTGGATCTTTAGTGCCTTATCACTAAAACAAATAAGACAAGGAATATTTTGAGAAAATTGTGCAACCCATCTTCAAACAATGTGGCATAGTTTTATACTTCTTGGAAGTAGATAGATTTCCTAACATGAAATACCTCTGTTTTAAAAAACAAAGGCAAAGGCATGAATTTCTGCCATTACCTTAATAATAACTAAAGTCTCATAAAAGAGACTGCATATTTTGTACCATCACAATGTGGAATAGACTGTTGAACCACTTTTTCCATATTTGGATATGTACATAGTAATCATAATTAGTGGCAGCATCTCATTAGGAAAGATAGCATTAAAAGCAATAATCGAATGAGTTATATATGATGTAGCTCATACACATAAAAGCAAACTTGGTTCCCAGTTCAGGACTGCATAGGCTGTCTTTGGCATTACCACAGTGTGAATCTGCACACTGTCCCCTATATGTTTCTGTTATGAGTGACCCTACTGTTACCTTTCACTGTAATACTGCATGATGTAAATTTGTCCTGAACTGTCTACTAAAACTTCTTTATATTTTGCTACTATTTGCATTCTTAAAATAATTGACTTAGAAGAGAGTTGTTAAAAATACATTCTAAATTGGCAAGCATTATCAATGATATTTATAAATATGTTTTTATATCCAGTTTATCATTGCAGGAGCCTTCATAATAAGAGTAACAAGGCATCCAACTCGATCCGGAGTAAGTTGAAATGTTTGAGGTATCTCTAGAATTCACTTGTCACAAAGCTAAATATTAATTTAAATGAAAATATAATATCTAAACAATGAAAGAATCTACCCTATCTGTAAAATAAATGAAGGAATTAAGGGTGAATCTAGAAGGGCATAATTTAATGTAGACAAATACGCTGTATTAGTTAACATCATGATGACTTTATATATAGGTTTCTAAATGAAACTATATAGTTTTTGTTTTGTTTGATATTAAACCTTTTAACATTGTATAAACTTAATAATTAGAAAACTTTTAATAGGAACTAATGACTTTAGATGTAGACATTTTACTATTATAAATCATTTTCTGAACTATCCTGTTTGGGAAAAGGATTGTTTCTTGTAACAAAGTAGGGAATTGATCCAAATTAAAGATTCATGCATGGTTTAAGTGGATTGATATTGGGAAGATGCACACTTTAGAATCTTAGAGCTAAAACATACATTACAAATTAGTCTGCTCTCATAACTTTACAGATAAAAAACTGACATCTAAAGATATTGATAGATTTCCTTAGATAATGAAAACTCAGGATTAAAATTTTATCAACTAAATCCTATTTTTATAGGCAGTCATTTTTTATCTTCTTTTTTTCCTACAGTGGAACCACTTTTGTTCAAATCATATCTTATATGCTTTCTTCCAAATGGCTTACAATATTGAAAAATAAAATTTTTTAAATTATACTTTAAGTTCTGGGGTACACATGAAGAATATGCAGGTTTGTTATATAGGAATATACGTGTCATGGTGGTTTGCTGCATCCATCACCCCATCATCTACATTAGGAATTTCTCCTAATAATATCCCTCCCCTATCCCCCCAGTCCCTACTATCTCTCCCTTAGCCCCCTACTCCCCAACAGGCCCCAATGTGTGATGTTCCCCTCACTGTGCCCATGTGTTCTTATTGCTCAATACCCACTTATGAGTGAGAACATGCAGTGTTTGGTTTTCTATTCTTATGTCAGTTTGCTGAGAATGATGGTTTCCAGCTTTATCCATGTCCCTGCAAAGGACATGAACGCATCCTTTTTTATGGCTGCATAGTATTCCATGGTGTATATGTGCCACATTTTCTTTATCCAGTCTATCATTGGTGGGCATTTGGGTTGGTTCCAAGTCTTTGCAATTGTGAACAGTGCCACAATAAACATATGTGTGCATGTGTCTTCATAATAGAATGATTTGTAACCTTTGGATATATACCCAGTAATGGGATTGCTGGGTCAAATTGAATTTCTATTTCTAGATCCTTGAGGAATCACCACACTGTCTTCCACAATGGTTAAACTAGTTTACTGAAGTAATTTCCCACCAAAAGTGTAAAAGTGTTCCTATTTCTCCACATCCTCTCCAGCATCTGTTGTCTCCTGATTTTTTAATGATCATCATTCTAACTGGCATGAGATGATATCTCCATGTGGTTCTGATTTGCATTTCTCTAATGACCAGTGATGATAAGTTTTTTTTCATATGTTTGTTGGCTGCATAAATGTCTCCTTTTGAAAAGTGTCTCTTCGTGTTCTTTGCCTACTTTTTGATGCAGTTTTTTTTTTTCTCGTAAATTTAAGTACTTTGTAGATTCTGGATATTAGCCCTTTGTCAGATGGGTAGATTGCAACAAATTTTTCCTATTCTGTTGGTTGCTGGTTCACTCTAATGATAGTTTTTTGTTTTGTTTTTTTGTTATTGTTTTTTGCTGTGCAAAGGCTCTTTAGGTTAATTAGATCCATTTGTCAATTTTGGCTTTTGTTGCCATTGCTTTTAGTGTTTTAGTCATGAAGTCTTTGCCCATGCCTATGCCCTGAATGGTTTTGCCTAGGTTTTCTTCTAGGGTTTTTATGTGTTAGGTCTCATGTTTAAATCTTTAATCCATCTGGAGTTAATCTTTGTATAAGGTGTAAGGAAGGGATCCAGTTTCAGCTTTCTGCATATGGCTAGCCAGTTTTCCCAACACTATTTATTAAATAGGGAATACTTTCCCCATTGCTTGTTTTTGTCAGGTTCGTCAAAGATCAGATTGTTGAAGATGTGTGGTGTTATTTCTGAGGCTTAGTTCTGTTCCATTGGTTTATACCTGTGTTTTGGTACCAGTACCATGCTATTTTGATTACTGTAGCCTTGTGGTATAGTTTGAAGTCCAGCAGTGTGATGCCTCCAGCTTTATTATTATTATTATTATTTGCTTATGATTGTCTCAGCTATGCAGACTCTTTTTTGGTGCCATATGAAGTTTAAGGTGGTTTTTTTCCCCAATTCTGTGAAGAAAGCCAATGGTAGCTTGATGGGGATAGCATTGAATCTATACATTTCTTTGGGCAGTATGGCCATTTTTCATGATACTGATTCTTCATAACCCTGAGCATGGAGTGTTTTTCCATCTGTTTGTGTCCTCTCTTATTTCCTTGAGCAGTGGTTTGTAGTTTTCCTTGAAGAGGCCCTTCACATCCCTTATTAGTTGTATTCCTAGGTATTCTGTTCTCTTTGTAGCAATTGTGAATGGGAGTTCACTCATGATTTGGCTTTTCTGTTTGTCTGTTATTGGTGTGTAGGAATGCTTGTGATTTTTGCATATTGATTTTGTATCCTGAGACTATGCTGAATTTGCTTATCGGCTTAAGGAGATTTTGGGCTGAGATGATGGGGTCTTCTAAATATACAATTTCCTCTTTTCCTAATTGAATACCCTTTATTTCTTTCTCTTGCCTAATTTCCCCAGCCAGAACTTCCAATACTATGTTGAATAGGAGTGGTGAGAGAGACCATCATTGCCCTGTGCTAGTTTTCAAAGGGAATGCTTCCAGTTTTTGCCCATTCAGTATGATGTTGGCTGTGGGTTTGTAATAAATAGCCCTTATTATTGTTCCATCAATACCTAGTTTATTGAGAGATTTTAGTATAAAGCACTGTTGAATTTTGTTGAAGGTTTTCTCTGCATCTATTGAGATAATCATGTGGTTTTTGTCTTTGGTTCTGTTTATGTGATGGATTATGTTTATAGATGTGTGTATGTTGAACCAGACTTGCATCCCAGGGATGAAGCTGACTTGATCATGATGAATATGCTTTTTGATATTCTATTGGATTTGGTTTGCCAGTATTTTATTGAGGATTTTTATATCAAAGTTCACCATGGATATTGGCCTGAAATTTTCTTTTTTAGTTGTATCTCTGTCAGATACTGGTATTAGGATGATGCTGGTCTCATAAAATGAGTTTGGCAGAAGTCCCTCTTTTTGTATTGTTTGGAATAGTGTCAGAAGGAATGATGCCAGCTCCTCTTTGTACCTCTGGTAGAACTCAGCTATCAACCCATCTGGTCCTGGATTTTTTTTAGCTGGTAGGCTACTAATTGCTGCCTCAATTTCAGACCTTGTTATTGGTCCATTCAGGGATTTTACTTATTCCTGGTTTTCCAATGAGAATGTAAGTGTCCAGGAATTTATCCATTTCTTCTAGACTTACTGGTTTATTTGCACAGAGGTGTTTATAGTAATCTCTGATGGTAGTTTGTATTTTTGTGGGATTAGTAGTAATATCCCCTTTATCATTTTTTATTGCATCTAGTTGATGCTTCTCTCTTTTCTTCTTTATTATTCTGGCTAGTGGTCTATCTATTTTGTTGATCTTTTCAAAAAGCCAGCTCCTGAATTCACTGATTTTTTTTGAAAGCTTTTTTCTGTCTCTATCTCCTTCAGTTATGCTCTGTTCTTAGTTATTTGTTGTCTTCTGCTAGCTTTTAAATTTGTTTGATCTTGCTCCTCTAGTTCTTTTAATCATGACATTGGAGGTCAATTTTAGATCTTTCCTGCTTTCTCTTGTGGGCATTTAGTGCTATAAATTTCCCTCTAAACACTGCTTTAAATGTGTCCCAGAGATTCTGGTATGTTGTGTCTTCATTCTTATTGGTTTTGTGGAACATCTTTATTTCTGCCTTCATTTAATTATTTATCCAGGAGTCATTCAGGAACAGGTTGTTCAGTTTACATGTAGTTGTGAAGTTTTGAGTGAGTTTCTTAATCCTGAGTTCTAATTTGATAGCACTGTGGTCTGAGAGACTATTTGTTATTATCTCCATTCTTTTGCATTTGATGAGGAGTGTTTTACTTCCAATTGTATGGTCAATTTTGGAATAACTGTGATGTGGTGCTGATAAGAACATATATTCTGTGGATCTAGGATGTCTGCAGATGTCTACTAGATCTGCTTGTTACAGATCTGAGTTCAAGTCCTGGATATCCTTGTTAATTTTCTGTTTCGTTGATCTGTCTGAAATTGACAGTGGGAAGTTAGTCTTCCACTGTTATTGTGTGGGAGTCTAAGTCTCTTCATAGGTCATTAGGAACTTGCTTTCTGTATCTGGGTGCTCCTATCTTGGGTACATATATATTTAGGATAGTTAGCTCTTGTTGTTGCATGGATCCCTTTACCACTATGTAATGCTCTTCTTTGTCTCTTTTGATCTTTGTTGGTTTAAAGTCTGTTTTATCAGAGACTTGGATTGCAACCCCTGCTTTTTTTTTCTCTCCATTTGTTTGGTAAATCTTCCCTCATCCCTTTATTTTGAGCCTATGTGTGTCTTTGCATGTGAGATGGGTTTCCTGAATACAGCACACCAATTGGTCTTGATTCTTTATCCGATATGCAGTCTGTGTGTTTTGATTGGGGCTTTTAGCCCATTTACATGTAAGGTTAATATTGTGACGTGAATTTGATCCTGCCATTTTGATACCAGCTCGTTGTTTTGCCTGTTAGTTGATGCAGTTTCTTCATGGTGTTGATGGTCTTTACAATTTGGTACATTTTTGGAGTGGCTGGTGCTGGTTCTTCTTTTTCATGTTTAGTGCTTCTTTCAGGAGCTTTTGTAAGGCAGGCCTAGTGGTGACAAAATCTTTCAGCTGTTGCTTGTTCATAAAGGATTTTATTTCTCCTTCACTTATGAAGTTTAGTTTGGCTGGATATGAAATTCTGGGTTGAAAATTCTTTTCTTTAAGAATGTTGAATATTGGCCCCCACTCTTTTCTGGCTTAGGGTTTCTGCTGAGAGATCCACTGTGAGTCTGGGCTTCCATTTGTGGGTAACCTGACCTTTCTCTCTGGCTGCCCTTAGCATTTTTTCCTTCATTTCAACCCTGGTGAATCTGACAATTATGTGATTTCTCTGTGTTTCCTGAATTTGAATGTTGGCCTGCCTTGCTAGGTTGGGAAGTTTTCCTCGATAATATATTGAAGTGTTTTCCAACTTAGTTTCATTCTCCCTGTTACTTTCAGGTACACCAATCAAACATAGATTTGGTCTTTTCACATAATCCCATATTTCTTGGAGGCTTTCTTCATTTCTTTTCACTCTCTTTTCTCTAATCCTGCCTTCTGGCTTAATTTCATTGAGTTGATCTTCAATTTCTGATATCCTTTCTTCCACTTAATTGATTCGGCTTTTGAAACTTGTGTATACTTCATGAAGTTCTCATGCTGTGCTTTTAAGTTCCACCAAGTCATTTATGTTCTTCTCTATGCTGGTTATTCTAGTTAGCATTTTGTCTAACCTTTTTTTGAGGTTCTTAGCTTCTGTGCATTGGGTTAGAACATGCTCCTTTAGCTCAGAGAAGTTTGCTTCTGAAGCCTGCTCTGTCAATTCATCAAACTCATTCTCCATCCAGTCTTGTTCCCTTGCTGATGAGGAGTTGTGATCCCTTGGAGGAAAAGATGCATTTTAGTTTCTGCAGTTTTCAGCCTTTTTGTGCTGGTTTTTTCCCCTATCTTCATGGATTTATCTACCTTTGGTCTTTGAAGTTGGTGACCTTTGGATAAGGTCTCTGAGTGAATGTCCTTTTTGTTAATGTTGAAACTATTTCTTTCTGTTTGTTAGTTTTCCTTCTAACATTCAGGCCCCTCTGCTGCAGGTCTGCTGAGGTTTGCTGGAGGTCCACTCCAGACCATGCTTGCCTGAGAATCACATGTGCCAGCTTCAGAACAACAAAGATGGCTGACTGTTCCTTTCTCTGGCAGCTTTATTCTAGAAGGGTACCTGCTAGATGCCATCCAAAGCTCTCCTGTATGAGATGTCTGTCAGCCCCTGCTGGAAGGTGTCTCCCAGTCAGGATACACGAGGGTCAGGGAACCATTTGAGGAGGCAGTCTGTCCCTTATCAGAGCTTGAGTGCTATGCTGGGAGATCCATTGCCCCCTACAGAGCTGCTGGGCAGAGATATTTAAGTCTGCTGAAGCTGAACCCACAACTGCCCCTTTTCCCAGGTGCCCTGTCCCAGGAAGGTGGGGCCTTTATTTATAAATTCCTGATGGGCTGCTGCTTTTATCAGAGATGCCCTGCCCAGCAAGAAGGGAGTCTAGTGACACTGTCTGCCTGCAATGGCCTTGCTGAGCTGCCATGGACTCCACTGAAAAATACAATATTTTTAGCCTAAATGGAAGACTGATGAATAATGAACTCACGATGTTAATGTTTCCTCTAGATTACCTGGCCTTTATATAAATTAGAAAAATATTTTCTTAATACTTGCTACTTCTAAGACTTCAGAAACTAGATCAAAGCTCTAACTAGATAACTTTTTTCAGCAATGCAAACTATTACACCAAAATGTTTATTCTGAATATAATACATTTACCCTCTGTCTCCTTTTCAGATTGTATGTACTTTAATCATGAACATCTTCTGCATAATGACTACAATCATTGCCATAACTCTAACAATAATTGAGTTGTCTCATTTTGAGTCTGTGTCATATAGGAATTATGGACAAGCAGTAAGTGACCAATTCTATGGGAACGTATTAATTTTTAAATTATTCTTTTTAATGATTTTGAAATCTTAGGAGGTAACATGAGGATTTTATTGATCCTCATGAAATTCTTTGATTTACTAATGAGCTCTTGATTGAAAATTTTAAATCAAAAAATTCTAGGCTGGGCCGGGTGCAGTGGCTCACACCTGTAATCCCAGCACTTTGGGAGGCGGAGGCGGGCAGATCACGAGGTCAAGAGATCGAGACCATCCTGGCCAACATGGTGAAACCCCACCTCTACTAAAAATACAAAAAAAAAATTAGCTGGGTGTGGTGGCGCGCACCTGTAGTCCCAGCTACTCGGGAGACTGAGGCAGGAGAATTGCTTGAACCCAGGAGGCAGAGGTTGCAGTGAGCCAAGGTCACGCCACTGCACTCCAGCCTGGCACCTGGTGACAGAGTGAGACTCTGTCTCAAAAAAAAAAAAATTCTAGTCTGTGGGTTTTAGTAAATATTAAAAGAATGTTTGAATTCTTGACTTGCTGAATTAAAGTAAATAAAAATTCCTGTGAAACCTTCCATGGTAAGTGTCTGTGTATCAGGCACAGAGTCACTTAATGATTCTCTTAATACAAGAAAAGTATAATCCTGGACCATAAAACCATTTTGCAAATAAACAAAAGAATTCTGGTACTGACACATACAGTTCTAATTGTAGACACCTAGTAATTTCTGGCTTAACATAGAGCTTTTCATATATAGCATATCTTTGCATCTTACGTGAATTTTGCTTTAAGTCCAAAAATGCTAAATATAAATAAGCCTAGCTTGTTTCCATTTAGTTATCCAGTAAATGTAAAGATTTTTCCTACTAACACAATAGATTTATTTTAATTATATTGGTTTTAAATTCAGAATCATAGAATATAGTGCTGTAAAAGACCTTAGCAAAGCTAATTTTTAAAAAATCTCACATTTAAAATGAGGACAGATTGGAGTGAAACACCTTGTTTGACCAACAGAACAAAACAAATAGCAATTTCAGTAATGAGTAGAAGAGTCACTGCAGGTGCAGGATAAGCTTCCTCCTCCTCCCCTACACACTTCCTTTCCATACCTGTGACATGTTATTAAGGGGGCCATCAGAGGAAAGAATCCAAACCTGGAGAACAAAACCCTGGAGGACAGTGAGAAATAATAGATAAATGCAATAATACTCCGAAATATATTGTGTGTAATGAGTGATTATTTAAACAAACATGGATTTTTCCTATAAACTGTAAGAAAATTGTCCAGTTGCCCTGGACATTCAATTTAGAAATATTTAGTTCTAATTTTGGGGGTAGAGAATAGAGAAGGAGGACTTAACTTATTAAGTGCATAATTGTTTCAAGTTATATGTCACCAATCATCTTATTCATAAACTTTTAATCATCAGTTTAATATGGCATAATTGCCAAGGATTGCCTTTTGCAGTCAGTGTTACAAACAACTGTAGTCTATATTTATCTGATCTGAACTGAATAATGATCAGTTTTACAATAAGCCACTGCACTTATTTCAAATGTCTTACCACTTTATGAAGCCTTACCAGAGACTAATGGCTTAGAGTGAACCTCCTGTTCTCTATAATAATTGAGCAAGTTTTTATCCATTTTATATGGTACCTTATATTGTCTTTCTGTCTCTTCTACTTCGTTATAAACTCTGGGAGATCAGGAAGTTTTTATGTGCCATTGCATTCCTATCATCTAATTCTTACCACCAGATAGTTTCTTGAATATAAAAGATATTAAATAAATACAACAAAGAAGGAGGAGGAAGAGTTAGAGAAGCTATTGAAGGGGAGAGAATTATGATGTCATTATTTCTAGATCTGGGTATCATTCTTGTCTTTCCACAGCCAGCACAAAACCCACATTTTCAGGATAAGCACTGATATTATTTACGTAACTGACCAATCAGATTTGTAGTTGAAAATATTTGTTTTATTTATCCCAGCAACCACAGACATCTATGCTTCCAAGTTAAATGTTCTTTGAACTTGTTTTCAGTTTACTAATCATTTTAAATGATATTAAAGCAATATCTATGTGAGAGTTTTATCACCACATATGTAAATTTGAGAAGGGTTGTCATTGATAATAGCTGTTTTAAGAGAAAATGATTGCTTGATAAACCTGTTGGTGGCCACCTTATCATTAGAGAAAGGAGAATCAAATCTTAGTAACTGAAGAGTTATAGTGAGCTGTGCCAACGACTCTGTAAAAGCTGTCAGAAGTGAGACAAGAATGCTAAGTAATGGAGATCAAGTACAGAAGCCACAGACGCTGAACTAAGGAACTGAAAGCTAGAGAAAGTGTAGCAGAGGGCAGAGGAGTAGAGATGCCTAAAGAAATCAAACGGTGAAGGGTTTATCTGTTCTTATTTTTCTTCCTGTTTTTGACTCTTATACCAGTAGCTCCTTCCATGATCATGATTGCACTCACTAAAGATGATAACATAAGATTTCTCCCTGTTTTTTGGTTATAGAAACTTGGAAGGGAAGTATCACGTGTTTTACTGTTCTCCTATACTTTGGAATTTTCTATTGCACTTGCATACTCAATATGTAGCTGTTGCAGTTTGGTAAGTATTTACCCACTCTCTGGCAAATCAAAAGATGTTGATTTCTGGTAAGCACACTCTATGAGGAGATGAAGTGAATTGATACAAAATGTTTAGAACTAATAAACTGTATTTATTTAGATTTTGTCCACATATCATACCAACCCTTCTTCAATAGATAGTTTCTCCTTTTTGCTTTTAAATTTTAACAGATAAGATTATAAAAGCAATAATTATAACAACACATTGGTAGTTATATAATATGTATAGATAGAATATATGACAATAGTAGCACAAAGAAAAGGAAAGAGAATTAGTTATATGGGAATAAAGTTGCTGTATTTTACTGGAATTGAATTAGCATTCATTTGAAGTAGATTATGATAAATTAGAGTGCTTATTTAGTGATTTAAAAAGCTAAAAAATATTATACCTTAAAAATCAGCAAGGGAGGTAACATAAATACGGTATGTTTAATTAAAAAAAAAAAAAAGAAAGAACACAAAGGCCAGTCTTGGTGGCTAACACCAGTATTCCCAGCATTTAGGAGGCCAAGTCAGGAGGGCCATTTGAGCCCAGGAGTTCAAGACCAGCCTGGGCAACATGATGAGACTTTGTCTCTACAAAAAAATAAAAATAAAAACATTAGTCAGGCATAGTGGCACATGACTGTGATCCCAGCTACTTGGGAGGCTGAGGTGGGAGAAGAACCCAGGAGGTCAAGGCTGCAATGAGCCATGTTCATGCCACTGCACCCCAGCCTAGGTGACAGAGCAAAACCCTATCAAAAAAAAGAAGAGAAAGACAAAGAAAAGAAAAGGAAAATAAAACACATGAGACCTGCATAAAACAAATAACAAAATGTCAGATATAAATCTATTCCTTGTAACAATAACATTAAAATAAATTAAAATGACAATGAGATATTTTAAAGTACCTACTAGAATGACTGAATTTCAAAATATTGATAATGCCAACTAATAGCAAAGATTATAGATAAAAGAAATATCTCTCATACTCCTAGTTGAAATGTAAGTTACTGTAACAACTTTTAAAACCTTTTGGGCATTACCTACTAAATATTAAGATGTGCATACCCTATGATCAGTAATTTAAGCCCTTGGTATATAACCAACAGAAATATTTGAGCATATGAATTAAGATAAACTTAAGTTGAGGTGTATTACTCTAGCGAAATTTGACATGGTAATTAGAAGGAACTACATTTGCACTTAACAACATAGATGGATCTTATTAATAAAATGTAGAGTATAAAAACTCAAAAGAATTTATACTTTTAAAAATTCCATTCATATGATGTTTGAAACCAGGCAAAACTAAAGCTAAACTATAGTGCTTGGGGATGCAAGCTTAGTTGATGAAACTAGGAAAAAATTGATAGGACTGATGACTGTATCTCAAAGTCAAAATGACCATTACCTTGAAGGGAAGGAATAGGTAGTAGTTGAGAAACATCATGAGAAGATAGGGTACGGGCATCTATTAAGGTTTATGCACAAGAAGACTATGGATATTTTTATTATAAAAGTCTGGAGGTATACAAAAAGGTACAAGTAGGTTGAAGGCTGGGCATGGTGGCTCACATCTGTAGTCTCAACACTTTGGGGATCACTTGAGGCCAGGAGTTCGAGACCAGCTTGGCCAACATGGTGAAACCCCATCTCCGCTAAAAATACAAAAAAATTATCATGGCATGGTATCACAGGCCTGTAATCCTAACTACTCGAGTGGCTGAGGCATGAGAATTGCTTGACCCTGAGCCTGAGAGGCAGTTACAGTGAGCTGAGATCATGCCACTGCACTCCAGTGTGGGTGACAGAGTAAGACCTTGTCTTGGAAAAGAAAGGAAGAAAGAATAAAGGTATAGGACAGAAATTGGATACTTCAAGATTTTACTCTATAAATATCAGTATTGCCTGTATTCTTTTAAGAAAAATATCTGTTTGTTTGTTGTATAAAATTAAGATTTGTAAGAGGTTAATTTTTTTCCAGTTTCGAAGACATGAAGGTGATGCTACATCTGTTCCTGAGGACGCTGAGAGCACTTTTTAAAAACTCTAGAAATGTAAGAATCTTGCTGTTGCTGATGCCAGATGTGGGTCCTAATGATATCTCTGTATGCCAAAGCAGTTATGAAGCCTATAGACTTTGTGCAAAATAAAATACAAATAAGGTGAATTTTTCTCCTCAGTATTTAAGAAATTTCTCTGCTCATGTTTTTCTAGGCTGCAAGGGGAAAGCTTTTCCCTATTTAAATACGAGATTATTTCAGGATGAATATGTTATCTAGGTACTCTGAATAGCTGTCAGCTCCCCATAATAGAGCTTTAGTAAGAGACTGTAAAAAAAAGATTCGTTATTATCTCTAGAGTGAAGGCTATAAAGACTTGGGCCATGATGCTATATAATTCACAGGAAAACTTTAAATACTTGATGTCCATACAAGTAAAAAGCACGTTTTACAATCTGGTTCTTCTACATTAACTAGCTTCTACTGTAACAAAGTATGAATCAAAAAGCCTCTAATTCATATTTTCTTCATTGTGCTTTGACTTCTTTTCTCCTTATTTAAAGTTACTTTCTACCCTGAACTTACCTGCTGTCTTTCTTATCTTTCCTTCGCCTGGCTTCTTTCTTATCATTGTTTGGATTATCTGTTCAACTGCTTTTCAAAGCAAACAGACTGCCTTTCCAAATCAGGAGAATTTCCTAGAAATCTGTTCTGAATTCAGTTATCTCTCCCTTCTAGTATAGAACATGACCTCAGAAGGATGTTGCACTGTTTCTTCCCTAACGATGTAAACTAAGGTTACTTGGGTCTAAGAATGTCAGCACTTAGCTCATTTTTTTCAGAGTTCCTACTGTATACCAATGAACAGAATATTAAACTCTGGAGTATCAACAATTAATAAGGTACCTGATGGCTAGGAGACTTTATTTTAAGGGAGGAAACAAACAACAAGTTAAGACTATGCATGACACATGAATTAACAGAGTATTAAAAAGTAGAAATAAGCCGGGAGCAGTGGCCTATGCCTGTAATCTCAGTACTTTGGGAGGTAGAGGTGGGCAGATCACAAGGTCAGGAGTTTGAGACCAGCCTGAACAACATGGTGAAACCTCGGAAATTAGCTGGAAATGGTGGCATACACCTATAATACCAGGTACTCAGGAGGCTGAGGCGGGAGAATTGCCTGAACCTGGGAGTCAGAGGTTGCAGTGAGCCAAAATCACACCATTGCACTCCAGCCTGAGCAACAGAGTGAGACTCTGTCTCAAGACAAAAAGTAGAAATAAGACAGAAGAAATAAGAATCCTTCAGATGTGAAATAAGAGGAATAAAACTGTAGGAAAGACCCCTGAGCAGGGAATTCGTAGTTTACCAAGCAGAAAGTTAGGAAGACATTTTGAATAGAAGACTTCAGCTTCTTAGAAATGTGGGAGAGATCATATCTAAAATAAATATATTAAAACATAATGACATGGTGAAACCCCATCTCTACTAAAATACAAAAATACAGCTGGGCATGGTCCAGGTATGGTGGTGGATGCCTGTAATCTTGGGAGGCTGAGGTGGGAGAATCACTTGAATCCTAACTTTGAGACAGAGGTTGCAGTGAGCCAAGATGGCACCATTGCACTCTAGCCTGGGCAACGAGAGTGAAACTCTGTCTCAAAAAAAATAAATAAATAAAGGCAGGGCAGAATTGGGTAAAATGATAAATTCTATTAGGATAAGTTGACTTTTAGATAACTATGGAACATCAAAATAGAGATGCCAACTAAGCAATTTGAAAATACATATATGGAGACAGAGGAAAGATCAGTTATAAATTGATTGATTTTGATGGTAATTAAAAACATTGAGAGATGATGTCACCACGATGGCAGACTAGAAAAGTCCTACTCATATCTCCCAAAACAATGACAATTCTGCACCCATTCAAAGTTAAAAGTCAAAAGTCTCTCTGCAGGAGCCTTGGGATTCAGGTAGGAGTTTGTCAAATCCCAGTGGAGCCCAAGATCCAGGAGAGTCATTTTTAGAGTGCAGACCAACACCCAAGTGGCTGATTTGCCAAGATTGCTTGTAGATTCAAGCCCAATAATGTCCTAGTCCTCAAAGGGGCTTCTTTACAGCCTCATGTGGCTTTGAGCCTACAACCAAAACCATCTATCAAGGATTCCAGATGGAATCATGCATGCCAGTGCCTTGGTGGAAAGACTTCTCTGCCTGCTGACATTGATCTTGGAAGTGAACCTGAAAAATACACTTTGGCTCTGCTTTAGCCTTCCTTAGCTGAGGTCCCAGCTCAGAGCTACTCGCACAAGGACCCCAGAGGGAGATTCACTCATCTATTGTAAGCTGGAAGTCTTCCATGATGGGCTTGCCAACCTCCATCCCACAGCAGATCCCAAGGGGATCCACTCTCAGCTCCAGTGCCTCTCACTGCAGTTGAGAATCTATCCCTTCTGTGCTGAGATCTGCTGGGAAATGACTACCTATCTGGACAAATAAAGAGGGGCTCTCCATCCTCCACCCTGCAAGAGATTTCAAGAAAGCCCAGTCTCAGCTCCATTCCCTCCTTCTGCAGTCAGGGAACTATCCCATTTTTGCAGGGTCCTCCTGGGAGACATGTGTTCTCTGACATAAAGTCCAACAAGACTGGGCTTTATAACCTTTATCCCACAGTAGATCATGAGGGGGTCCCAATCTCAGCTCTGGCCCCTCTCATGGCAGTTGAGGAACTATCCTATCTGTACAGGAACTTGCTGGGTGGCATGCACCCCTCTATGCTGAGAATGGGCTCCTCATACTCTGTCTCACTAAAACTCCTAAGTGGGGGGGCCTGATTTTAGCTCAAAACCCTCCTGTTATAGTCAGGCAGCTATACCAACATGCCAGCCTCTGTTTCACAGCAGATATTGAGAGGGGCCAATTTTAGCTCTGGCCCTTCCTGCTGCAGTCAAGAAACTAGCCCACTTGTGGAGGAATCTGCTGGATGATGCATGCTTATCTGAACTTACATGGGCCCACTAGCCTTATTCTCACAGCAGGTCCCAAAAGGGCCCAGTCTCAACTCTAGCTACTCTTGCTGCACTTGGGGACACAGCCCACCTGTACAGAGACCTGCTAGGAGATGTGCCTATTTGGGCTACCGGGACAGTCATTCAGCATTTTCATACAACCCCAGTACCCTTCTTGAGTCTTCCCCAAGTCCATCTGGGCCAGAAAGCTGTGTCAACCTTGGAAGTCTTCATGAGATTCACAGCAAGCCTGGGCTTAGGGTGTCTTATAATGCTGAGATAGCTGCAGTGGTCAGGCTTTAGGAAAACAACAGTAAATCAGCTTAGAATCCCTGGAAACCCCTCTAAAGGACAGGTACAAACATAGCCAGTCTGTGAAGAATGAAATAAATACCTAATCCCTCAATGCATGGATATTATCACACTTCCCCAAGCATCAGGAATATTCAGGGAAATATGACCTCAACAAATGGACAAAACGAGGTACCAGAGACCAACCCTAAAATGATGAGAGATGTGTGATCTCTCTGATAAATAATTCAAAAAGACTGCTGTAGGGAAGCTCAATGAACTTTAAGAAAACAGGGAATCTATTCAGAAATTTATCATAGAAATTTTAAGAGAGATTGAAATAATTAAAATCAAACAGAAATCCGTAAGGTAGAAAATACAATGAATGAAATGAAAAATGTAATAGTGAGCATAAACAGCAGAAGTGATCAAACAGAATAATCAGTGAGCTCAAAGACAGATTATTTGAAAATATACAGTCAGAAGAGAAAAAAATAGAAAATAAAGAAAGCTTACAGGACCTATGAGACAACATTAAAGGAGAAGATATTCAGGTTATTTGAGTTAAAGAGGGAATTGAAAAAGGAAAAGAGGTGAAAAGCTTATCCAAAAAAATAATAACATAAATGTTCTAAACCTGAAGAAACATATAAATTTCCAGGTACAGGAAGGTTACAGGTCATCAATCAGATTCAACACAAATAAGAACACCCCAAGACATATGATAAACAAACATTCAAAGGTAAAAGACAAAGAGAGGATTTGAAAAGCAGCAAAAGAAACAAAAACAAAATATATGAGAGATCCAATACACATGGCAGCAGCAGACTTCTCACCAGAAATTTTACAGGCCAGAAGGGAGTAGAACAATTCAGCCAGAGTGCTAAAGAAAATGCCAAGCAAGAACATTGTACCCAACAATGCTATCCTTCAGAAATAAAGGAGAAAGAAAAAGCTTTAACAGAAAAACAAAAGCTGAGGAAGTATATTGTTACTAGACCCGTCCAACAAGAAGTGATAATGGAAGTTCTTCAAACCCAAAGAATAGAAAGCTAAGGTGATTGTAAAACTGATATTGTAATTGTAGTGTTTAAAACATTTATATCTTTAGTAAGAAGACTAAAAGGCAAAACTATTACAAATAAGAATATTTTAAACTATTAAAAATATTTTTAAATTAAACATTATTAAAAATATTATTATAAAGAAAATGTGACTTCAAAAATTCAAAATGTGGGAGGAGAAGGGAGTTAATGTATACATGGTTTATTTTTTCTTTGTGTGCAATCAGTTCAATTGATGTCAGTTTTAAGCAACTTGCTATAGCTATAAGATGTTTCATATAAGCATCCTGTGAACCGCAGAGTAAAAACCTATAGTTGATATGCTAACAATAAAAAGCAATGAGTTAAAACATACTACCAGAGAAAAACACTTATACACTAAGGAAAGCAGTAAGAAAGGAAGAGAAAAGCTACACAACTATAAAACAAGTAACAAAATGACAGTAGTAAGGCCTTATTTATCAATAATAACACTTACTGAGTAAATCAAATTCTCCAATTAATAAACATAGAGTGGCTGAATGAATTAAAAACAGAACCCAACTATATGCTGCATACAAGAAATTCACTTTACTTATAAAGACACATACAGATTGAAAGTGAAGGAATGAGAAAAGATATCCCATGCAAATGGAAACCAAACATGAATGGGAGTAGCTACGCTTAGATCATATAAAATAGACTTTAAGTCAAAACTTATGCAAAAAGGCAAAAAGGCCATTGTATAAGGATAAAGGGGTCACTTCAACAAAAGGAGATAACAATAGTAAATATGTATGCACCCAACACCAGAGCACCCAAATATATCAG